AAAGGAGTAGGAGGAGGAGGCGGACGAGGAGGATAGAAGAGAAGAAACGAAGAAGAAGAAAGAGAATAGAGAGGAGGAGGAGGAGGCGGAGGATAGGAGGATAGGAGGAGGAGGAGGAGGAGGAGGAGGAGGAGGAGGAGGATCATGGAGGAGGAGGAGGAGGAAGAGCAGGAGGAGGATAGGAGGAGGAGGAGGAGGAGGAGGAGGAGGAGGAGGCCGTTGCCCGGTCGGGGTCGGGCCGCCGCGGGCCCCACGCGCGGGCGGCGGCAGCGCGGCGCTCGCTAGATTGGGTTGCAGTGGGGGGTAGGACACCGAGCCCCGCAGACCTCCCCCTTGCGGCGGCAGCCCCTTGCGGCGCCCGCGGCAGGCGCCTGCGGCGGCGGTGGCGCTGCCCTAGGACCGCCATCCCTGGCGGCCAGACGGCCAAGAGGCCAGAGCCCACTTGGCATCGCCGTGCCAGGCGACTCCGTGGACAGACTTCGACTGGTCCTTCATCTGGAGGCGGCGCGGAGAATCTTGAATAATCAGCAACAACTCTTCCAACTTGTCTACCACAGCATACAGATGGACTTGTTATCCGTGTCGTTAATCCACTGGGCTGTGGCCTGGAGGATGAGAGAGGCGGCATCAACCCTCGGATCGTGGCCTGGAAGGGGGAGGGACGGGCCCAGGTGCATCACACGCGCCGTCGCCTGCTTGACGGCCGCCGGGGCCGTCTGCTGCGCACCAGCGACACCAGCGACGGTGCTCTCATCTCCAGTTACCTGCGCGCCTTACTTTTCTTCTTGTCCCCCTCCCCTCCTCCATCCCCTCCTGCCTCATCCCTCTGCCTCCTGCCTCCTCCGCCCTCCTCCCAGATCTCCGACGATCTGATGTTTTTCCCAACCATCCTGTGATGATGGGTCCTCGTTTTGAAGATACAGCGCCCCGCGTTCTTCTCCTCTCCTCCTCCTCCTCCTTCTCCTCCTCACCCCATAATCATCAGCATCCTCCGCATCGTCATCACCGTCATCATCATCATCATCATCATCATCATCATCATCATCATCATCATCATCATCATCATCATCATCATCACCATCATCATCATCATCATCACCACCATCATCATCATCATGACCATCATCATCATCATTATTGTCATCATCATTATCATTATCATTATCATTATCATTATCATTATCATTATCATTATCATTATCATTCTCATTATCATTATCATTATCATTATCATTATCATTATCATTATCATCATCATTATCATTATCAGTATCACTATCATTATCAGTATCATTATCATTCTCATTATCATTGTCAGTATCATCATCGTCATCATCGCCATCGTCTTCATCATCATCAGCACCATCATCATCACCATCATCATCATCGCCGTCACCATCACCATCATCGTCATCATCGCCGTCATCATCACTATCATCGCCACGCATTTCGGCACACCCCTTACACGGTTCGTGGCCCCATAGGGAGGCCGACCGAAGGTCTTAGTTGCACCGTTCGCATGCGTCGCCCCGTCCATTTCGGCACACCCCTCACGATTCGTGGCCCCATAGGGAGGTCCACCGACGGGCTCAGTGGCACTGTTCGCATGCGTCCCCCCCCGCTCATTTTGGCACACCCCTCACACGCTTCGTGGCCTCATAGGGAGATCCACCGAAGTGTCAAGTTGCACCGTTCGCATGCGTCACCCCACCAATGTTGGTACACCCCTCACACGGTTCGTAGCCCTATAGAGAGCCGCAGCGAAGGTCCCGGTGACACCGTTCGCCTGCGTCCTCCTGCCCATTTCGGAGCACCCTTCACAACACGGTTCATAGGGATCTCCACCGAAGGCCAGCCAGCCAGTGTTTCCTCCCAGCCGGTTCGGCACACCCCTCACACGCTTTGTGGCGCCATTCGAAGCTCCACCGAAGACCTAAACGAACGTCTCCCCCACTTGTTACGGCACACCCGTTACATGGTTTGTCGCCCCGAAGGGAGCTCACAGAAGGCACCAGTGGCCATGTTCGCATGCGGCCGCCCACTCATTTCGTCATAACCCTCACGCGTTTCGTGGCTCCAGAGGGAGCTCCAACGAAGGCGGTGTTCACAACGACGGTACCCGCCACTGCATATTTCTGGGTTCTTCGCCAGGATAATTTGATCCTGGCGTGTTGTCCTCAGCCTCCTGTCTACTCCGCCCTCCTCTCATATCTCCGGAAATCTGGGATTCATCCCATCAAACATATTGTTGGGCCCTCGTTTTGAAGAGAGCGCCCCGCGTCCCACCTCCTCTCCTCTCCTCCCCCCGCCTCCCTTCCCCATCATCATCATCATCATCATCATCATCATCATCATCATCATCATCATTATCATCATCATCATCATCAACAGCAGCAGCAGCATCATCATCACCATCAGCATATTCATCATCATCACGATTCTCACCATCCTCCTCCTCTTCCTCATCACCATCACCATCATCATCATCCTCATCATCATCACCATCATCATCACCACTATTATCACCACCATCGTCGTTATCATCATTATCATCATCATCATCATCATCATCGTCGTCATCATAATCAACAGCAGTATCATCAGCATCATCAGCATGATCGTCATCGTCATCCTCATCGTCATGACCGTCATCATCATCATCATCATCATCATCATCATCATCACATCATCATCGTCATCATCATCATCATTTTCACTACCATCATCACCATCATCATCATCATCACCCGCCTCAGCATCATCATCATCATCAGCATCACCATCAGCAGCTTTAGTAGTAGTATCATCATCATCATCATCATCATCATCATTGCAGGCACCATCGTATGTATTAGCATTGTCGCCATCATCACCATCATCGTCATCATGATCTCAGTCATATTCACCATCATCCCCACCAATTTCGGCGCCCCCCTCACACTTTTCGTGGCCCCAGAAGGGGGCTCCACCGAATGCCCCAGTAGAGGTGGTTGCATGCGTCTCCCCCTCCCCCACGCAGTACAGCGCTCCGTGGCCCAGTAGGGAGCTCCAACGAAAGTTCTAGTGGCGGTGTTCGCATGCGTCTCCCCCGCCCAGCATAGCGTTTCGTGGCCCAATAGGGAGCTCCACCGAAGGCCCCAGTGGTGGTGTTCGCATGCGTCTCTCTCATTCAGTGCAACGTTTCGTTGCCCCATGGGGGGCTCAACCGAAGGCCCCAGTGGCGGGGTTCGCATGCGCCCCCCCCCCCCACATGGTACAACGTTTCGTGGCCCCATAGGGTAGCCCCACCAAAGGCCCCAGTTGCGATGGTCGCATGCGTCCCCCGCGCGCAGTGCGGCGTTTCGTGGCGCCATAGGGAGCTCCGCCGAAGGCCCGAGTGGCGGTGTTTGCACGCGTCTCCCCCACGCAGTACAGCGCGTTGTGGCCCAATAGGGCGCTCCACCGAAGATCCCAGTGTCGGTGTTCGCATGCGTCTCCCCAGCGCAGTATAGCGTTTCGTGGCCACATGGGAAGCTCCACCGAAGGCCCCAGTGGCGATGTTCGCATGCGTCTCCCCCTTCCCAGTACAGCGCTTCGTGGCCCCATAGGGAGCTCCACTGAAGGCCTCAGTTGCGGTGTTCGTATGCGTCTCCCCCACCCGGTACAGCGTTTCGTTGCCCCACAGGGAGCTCCATCGAGGGCCTCGGTGGCGGTGTTTGCATGCGTGCGGGGTTCCCCCACCCCATTACAGCGCTTCGTGGCCCCATGAGAAGCTCAACCGAAGGCCAGGGTGGCCTTATTCGCATGAGTCTCCCCCATGAGTACAGCGCTTCGTTGCCCATATGGGGCTTCGCCGAAGGCCACAGTGGCGTTGTTCGCAGGCTTCCCCCCCACCCAGGACAACGTTTCGTGGCCCCATGGGGATCTCCACCCAAGGCCCCAGTGGCGGTGTTCGCATGCGTCTCCCACGTGGTACGTTTCGTGGTCCCATAGGGAGCTCCATCGAAGACCTCAGCATGCGTCTCCCACACGCAGTACAGCGTTTTGTGGCCCAACAATGAGCTCCACAGAAGGCCCCAGTGGCAAAGTCCACAGACATCTCTCCCCCACCAAGTACAGCGTTTCGTGGCCCCATAGGGATCTCCACCGAAGGCCCCAGTGCCAGTACAGCGTTTCGTGGCCCCAAGGGGAGCTCCACAGAAGGCCCCGGTGGCGGTGTTCGCATGCGTCTCCCCCCGCCCAGCACAGCGTTTCGTAGCTCCATGGGGATCCCCACCCAATGCCCCAGTGGCGGTGTTCGCATGCGTCTCTCCCATCCAGTACAGCGTTTCGTGGCCCCACAGGGAGCTCTACCGAAGGCCCCAGTGGCGGTGTTCGCATGCGGTTCCCCCACCCAGTACAGCGCTTCGTGGTCCCATTTGGGGGCTCCACCGAAGGCTCCATTGCGGCGCACCCCTCACACGCTTCGCGGCCCCATGGCGGGCTCTACCGGAAGCTTCAGTGGCAGCGCCCACGTGGCGGCCCCGCCTCATCGGCACCCTTCGCATGCTTCATGGCCCATGAGGAGATCTCCCGAAGGCGATACCCGCAACGACGGTACTCACAACTGCGTGTGATTGGGGCCTTCGCCAGGCTAATTTGATCCTGGCGTTCTGTCCTAGATTTCGGCTTCGGGGGGCCGTTATCGGGCCCCTGGACCATCAACAAGGGATCCTGTGCGAGGAACTGGCCCCTGGGGAAGGGGTCGAGAGCTCTGGGGCCGCAGATGGAACAAATCAAATCGGATGATGTCTAGGCTCTTCTCGGCGGCGCGCTTGGGGGTGAGGTGGCAGAGGGCATGCCTTCTCAGACAGCGGCGGAGCGTCTCGGAAGCCTGTCTGCCTTCTGAGAAGCCGTCTGTGCCTTCGGGGAGGCTTGGGGAACTTCGCAGAGGGCCGGGGGCCTTCCGAGCCTTCTGGGGAGGCCCGCCCCCTCTCAGCTCCCCCCCGTGCTCGCCGCCGATCTTCCCCCCGCAGACCCAGGACCTGTCGGAGGAGCCGGGCGCTGGCGAATCGCTGCGCAGGGTGATGGAGCGCGACGAGGAGGAGCTGGAGAGGCCAGCCGCGGCGACATGCCTGGGGATGGGGGGAGGAGCAGCGGGGGCTGACCAGGAACGGGACGGCGAAGCAGGAGATTCGGGTCAGGCAGTGCGATAAGAGAGGGGAGGAGGACGAGGGGGAGGAGAAGAAGGAGGAGGAGGAGGGGCAGGAGGAGGAGGGTGATGGGTAGGGGGGAAAGGATGATGGGGGAGGAGGGTGTGAGGAGGAGGGGGAGGAGGAGGAGGAGGAGGAGGAGGAGGAGGAGCAGGAGGAGGAGCAGGAGGAGGAAGAGGAAGAGGATGAAAAGGAGGAGGACCAGTGTAAACGCAAGAGTCATCAACGATGTTGGCATACACATTCCCTTCAAGCTCCCTCTTCATAGGTCCCTACAAAGTTTTATCTCCACTGAGGGACCTGCCACGGTGGAAGATAACCGTTCAAGACCCTGAAGCATGCAAGAACATAATTCTCGGGACTGCAACGCCACGGATCAACTTGACTGCTGCGTCTTGACGATCCTGACTCGTGCCGAACGACATTCCTGGGACTTCAACGCCGCGAATCAACGTAACTGGTGCGCCCTCAAAATCCGGAGTCTTTTCAAAACACAATTTCTGGTACGTTGACCTTGGGAATCCGTGTAACCCGCGTAATTTTTGAGAAGGAATATGCGCGGTGCTAAGACGGGAGCCACATTTTGAAAACGAACCGCCCTCAATCAGTGACACTCTCGCATGTATCTAAAATGAGTGTGCGCGGCGCTAACGCGAGAGAGAGAGAGAGAGCCACATTTTGAAAACGGCCTGCGCTCAATCCGTGAAACTCTTGCAGATTTTGAGAACGTATGTGCCGCGCGCTAAGGCGAGAGCCAAACTGCGAAAACGACCCGCCCTCCATCTGTGAAACTGTTGCTAATTTTCAAGCTTCAGGGTTAAACTGGTGAGGAAGTCTCAGGCGACACGTCCGACCCGCCCTTTTGACCAGCCTCGGGGTGCGACAGGGAGAAGTTATTTATAAGGAACTGAAAAGGAGGAGGAGGAGGAGGAGGAGGAGGAGGAGGAGGAGGAGGAGGAGAGGAGGAGGAGGAGAGGAGGGAGGAGAGAGGAGGAGAGAAGCAGGAGGAGGAGGAGGAGGGGGAGCAGAAGGGGAGGAGGAGGAGGAGGGGAGGAGAGGAGGAGGAGAGGAGGAGGAGGAGGAGGAGCGGGAGGAGGAGCGGGAGCAGGATGCACGGGATTGGGGGCGTTCGATGTGCTCCGAGCTGGCAGGGATCCGTCCACTGAAGAGTTTTGTGCGTTGACGGAGTGTAGGGCCGTCACTGTTCTTTTGGGTCCTCGTCCAGCGGTTCGGGCAGCCGGCGATCGTCCCAGGATTCGTTTTCCCTCTTTTGCTGGCCGTGTTGCCGCTCGCAGAGTGGGTGGAGGAGGGAGGAGGAGGAGAAGCAGGAGGAATAGGGGGAAGAGAGATGATGGGTGGCAGGGCACGGGCCCTAAATATTGCCAGCTTCACCGGACGGGGTCTGGAGTTTTCACAAACTATGGCTTGCCCTCAGTGGGCCTGACTTTGAGTTTGTTTCTTCAGACGGGGGTAAGAAGTCGGTTTACAGCACCACTGCGCTCATAGGGTCCTGGGTTCCTTTTCTGCATCGTCCTGTATCGTCCCCTAATTCTCACTCTCGTCTCTCAGTTTTATGGGGGGTCCCTCTCTCTCTATCTCTCTCTCTCTCTCTCTCTCTCTTTTTCTCACTCTTTTCTCCTCCTGCTCCTCCTCCCTTTCTTCTCTCTCTCTCTCACGCGTCTTCCTCCACGCAAGGAATGAGGCGAGGGACCAGGAAGGGAATTGTGATGATCATGATGCTTGTGATGATGATGCTGCTGATGATGGTGGTGCTGATGCTGATGCTGATGCTGATGAGGAGGATACGGATGATGATGATGATGATGATGATGATGATGATGATGATGATGATGATGATGATGATGATGATGATGATGATGCTGCTGCTGATGATGATGATGATGATGCTGATGCTGATGCTGATGCGGATGATGCGGATGATGATGATGATGATGATGCTGAGGATGAGGATGAGGATGATGATGATGATGATGCTTATAATGATGATGGTGCTGCTGCTGACGATGATGCTGGTGAGGGTGGTGGTGGTGATAATGATGATGACGATGCTGATGCTGATGATGATGATGATGCTGATGATGACGATGCTGATGATGATGATGATGATGATGATGATGATGATGATGAAGATGCTGGCGATACTGATGATGCTGCTGCTGTCGTTGATGATGATGGTGATGCTAATGCAAATGCTGCTGCTGCTGATCATGCTGATGAAGTGGATTGTGATGGTGATGCTGCCGATGGTGGTAAGATGACGATTACGGTGATGGTGCTGGTGATGACGACGATGAGGATGGCGATGCTG